AGAGAAGAAATGGGAATCTCCCCAAAGGAGATTATTTTTTTCTTCTTTGGTTTTTGTTGATTCTCATCCCCCCACCCCCACGCCCCAGCCTTCCCTGCAGAAGTTTTATTCTGGTGATGTAGTTACATATTTAGGATCAGGTAAGAAATTTGCTACATGAGACCAGTTGGAATGGCCCAATTAAAAGACAATTATATTTTTAAGCTATAGATTTTTGAAAGATGATTGTAATGTTCAGTCATCTCATACACTTTTTTTAAAAATGACAGGCTAAATCTACAAGTTTCTATTTCAGAACAAAAGGCATAAATTGAAGATTTCATTACCTTCTAATTTAATATTTAGTGACATTAACTATAATAGGATGCTTTTAAATAGTGGTTATGACTTTTAGCCCAGTCGATTCACATTTTTAAAATAAAACTATGGTAATTAAAGAGGCAATAATATTTTGTCAAGTTTACTTACTCCATGTGTAGATAATCCAGGGCATGTAGGATATTCATTTAAAGTTGCTCATCTCCTTAACGGTGGAGAACTGTTAAGCCACGTCTTCTTTGCCAGTTACGCTGCAAGTTTATCTCTTGGATATTGGGTGTCTGTCACACTGGGTGATGTAGGTTTTAAGTGGAAATATTAGGACTGTTATGGCCTTTCGGCATCATGAAGGAAAAGGTGTACATGCCAGAAAAATGTAAACTAAAATTCCTATGCCTGTGGGTGTTAGGCCTGTTTCTTAAACAAAGTCAGAGTATGTATGAGAGGTATGTTAAACACATCGTCTGTCTTGAACTGAGTATACCTGGATTGTGTTCTCTTTATTCTTTATTTTGTATGTTGGTTAAGATGGCTTTCTTCTTTTGTGTCACTTTTGGGTGGTTTCCAATTCATGATATGCTTTTCTTCTCTAGAGAAGCTAGTCTGCCTAGCTTAAATCAGTGTGGTGAGGTGCAAAGTAGCCCCGTGTTTTCCTGAATGGATTTACTCTGCCATATGGCAGGTTACTGAGTTGCCACGACAGATTTGTAATGGGAAAAGGGCTGTGCAGGAAAGGATGTGCGTGATCAGCAGATTTATAGATCAGAAAATGAAATCGGAAGAAAGAATTTCCAGAGTGCCCTTTCCATTTGACAGCTCTTCACTGAGAGGGTACAGAATGGTTTTTTAGTGTTTTTCTCTTTTGGCTTTTGGTTGCTCCAGCATATATTTCCAGCACAGGAGTTGATTCTGCAAGGCATCAGTGTTCTGAGTGTTGTGTTGCTGGATTCCTGTTCACAGAGATACTCTCTTTGTAGGATTGGAAGCTGTGCTGTGTTTCATGTGATAAGATCTCTGTAGCAATTAAATTCCTGAAGACACATCAAGGCTCCTGTTGGCTAAAATGAGGATTTGCCAGGTTTTGAGTCATAAGAAGAGGCTATTTAGATACAATTCTGAATCTTCCAAAGGACAGAAAACAAAAAGAAAAGCCAAGTGAGCCAAAGATTTATCTGTCCTGGTGTATTTAAGTCTGTGCTATCCAGTATTGCAGCCACTAGCCACATATGGTTATTTAAATTTAAATTACTCAAAATTAGGGGCATCTGGGTGGCTTATTTGGTTAAGTGTCAGACTCAATTTCGGCTCAGGTCATGATCTCCATGTTCGTGGGTTTGAGCCATGCATCGGGCTCTGTGCTGACAGCACAGAGCCTGCTTGAGAGTCTCTCTCTCTCTCTCTCTCTCTCTCTCTCTCTCTCTCTGCCCCTCTTCTGTTCTCTCTCTCTCTCAAAATAAATAAATAAAATCCAGTCCCTCATTCTCACTAGCCATATTGCAAGTACTCAATAGGCACAGGTGGCCAGTTAATACAGTATTAGGCAGCACAGATAAATTATGTTACCATCATTGCTGGCAGTTCTATTGGATAATATTGGTCGAAGTGGAAGATTTCAAGGAAGAGAATTCTTTCTTTGATTTCCTTGAGGACATATTCATCCCTATAATTTACTGGATTAGTGCAGTGGTTCTGAGGTTTTAATGCACAAACGAGTCCTCTGTAGGGCTTATATAAAATGTAGGTTTGAGACCTCTCCCCAGACTCTAATTCATTAGGTTTGGGGTTGTGACCAGAAATCTGTACATACAACAAGTATCATAGGGAATTCTGATGCTGGTAAGTGGCTCAGAAATGACATTTTGAAAAATACTAAGTGAGGAGTATTGCCAGTCTATTGATTTTTTTCCCCCCTTCACTCTGTAATTACTGACTTTCTTTTGTGTCCCGAATAATTGGTTGTAAGCACCCTGCATACTCAGCTTGAACTCTTGGTTGGTAATAAGTAGCAAAAAGAAAATTCATTTATTTACCATCTCATCTTTTTAATATGTGTATGTTTTAATTTGGCTGTGCCCTACAAAAAGGAAAAAGATGGTTAATTCAGTGCCATTTTGGAGTGTGTGGGACGGTAATTCTGACAGAACACCTCTGACCGCTAAGAGCTGAGCACCCACAAGCTGTAAAATTATAAAGGAGTGAAAAAAGAACTATAACACATGATCGTCTCGCTGAAGAAGATTATATCTAATTAGGAAATACATCCAGAGACGTACAGGGCACTTAGTAACAAGTCAGTAATTAGAAAAATAATGTAGGAGAACCTAAATCCTGAAAGAACTCAAAGGAAAAGCATGATTTGACTTGATTGAAGATCATCTATATTGCTTTCCTTTGTATGATTTAAAGGTTTCTTATCTAGGGACATGGCCTTCGCCAATCTGGAATGGGCAGTAAAAAATAGGAAGGATCTCTCATTTGGTCCTGTGGTACAGTCGTGGGCTTTAGCAATAGATAGGCCAAAAAGGGCATCTGGAAACCAATTAAAGGAACCACTCAGAACGTACTGGATTTAAAACTTCTCTGCGTCACTCCATAATTATGGAACTTCATTTGCTCACAGAAATGAAGGTAGAGAAGAAATGGGGGTGAAGGAAGTTTACTTTATAAGAGGAAATACTTATAGGGAATTTAAATACTAGTACTGGAGGGGCGCCTGGGTGGTTCAGTTGGTTAAGCATCCGACTTTGGCTCAGGTCGTGATCTCATGGTTCGTGGATTCAAGCCCCGCATCGGGTTCTGTGGTGACAGCTCAGAGCCTGGAGCCTGTTTCAGATCCTGTGTCTTCCTCTCTCTCTGCTCCTCCCCCACTCATGCTCTGTCTCTCTCTGTCTCAAAAATAAATAAAACAAACAAAAAGTTTTTAAAAATGCTAGTACTGGAAAAGAAAAAAAAAACTATGAAGGTTCCAAAGAATAGTTTTCTTTTAAAATGATTGTGCAGCCTCTTTTCCTTGGAGAAATTGCCCATTAAGTTTCTCTGAAGAACAATATGGAAGAAGCAATGGTAGGAAGACAGGAAGAAGAAGAAAAAGAGCTCAATATGTTGCCACTGTTTTAAAAAGCATTTTCATATATGTGTGTGTGTATATATATATATGGATATGATATATATATATCATCTGGAAGATTTGCTTTTTTTCTTTTTTGCTTGGTAGTTTGGTTAAACCAATAGCCACTCCATCACTTGTCCTAAGAGATCTGTCTTTTCTTTTCAGTAAAGAAAGTAAAAGTTTTCCCACCCTTTCTACAAGATGTATATGTTCTTTTCACATTGTCTTAGTCCCTCAGGGTTGCTATAACAAAAATACCATGACTCGGCTTATAAACCCAAACATTTCTCATAGTTTGGAGGCTGGGAAGTCCTAAGATCATGGCACCAGATTCCATGTGTGGTAAGAACTTCCTGATTCATGGCCATAACACTGGCTCTTCACTGTGTCCTCACGTGGGTGAGGGTTGAGGGAATTGTTTTATAAGGACACTAAAATCCCATTCATGAAGGCTTATCCCATGAGGGTCACCCCATTCATGACCTAATCATCCCCTAAAGGCCCTGCCTCCTAATACCATCACCTTGGGCAAGGGGTACTTTAGCACATGACTGGGGGGGTACACAAACATTCAGACTATAGTAGACATTTAAAATGTTATTTAGATTCAGGTGCCTTGCTGGCTCAGTCAGTAGAGCATGTGTCACTTGATCTAGGGGTTGTGAGTTTGAGCACCATGCTAGGCATAGAGCCTACTTAAAAAAAAAAAAAAAAAGTTATTTAGATTCAGGCTCACAGACTACCTCCTTAGCCAGGTTCTTTGGACCCAAGAAAAGAAAAATGGCACCTTAGGGGTGCCTGGGTGGCTCAGTCAGTTGAGCCTCTGACTCTTGATGTCGGCTCAGGTGAGTTTGAACCCCGCGTAGGGCTCCTTGCTGACAGCTCAGAGCCTGGAGCCTACTTCGGATTCTGTGTCTCCTTCTCTCTCTGCCCTTCCCCTGCTCACACTCTGTCTCTCTCTCTCTTTCAAAAATAAACATTAAAGAAAAAAAATTTTAAAGAAAAATGTCACCTTGTAGTCTAGAGGACTTTCTCTTTCTTACCTTTACCTATTCTGTTATCTCTGCTTTGAAATACATTGAAACTGACCTAAGATTGCCTTTATATTTGAGGGTCTTCATCTCTCATAGGTATTTGAAACATTATGTCTCTCCTCTCCTCTGTCCCTTTGTACATACAACTAGGATCTTGATCAGTACAGGATACAGAGGACATCATCAGTTTGGAGATGGTTCGGAATACAAGTTTCTTTCCCCTAGTGGCCAGTTGGGTGCAATGTTAATGAACTAAGGGTAATATCATTTCCTAAGTAATACAAATAGGACTCAGGTAAAAATGAGCTGCTATTCAGGAATTTATACAGGCTTAGAAAATGTAAAGCTTGAACTTGGCGCTAAGCCCTCCTCCCAAGACAGTATTTTTTTTCTTCCTTCCAAAGGAATCAATTTTGAATTGAAAACTAATGAGCATTGAGTTGAAAATGGCAGTTGCAACCCTCTTTCTAGGAAAATGTTTTGCTGAAAGCTTTCTCTCTCTCTCCCTCCCTCTCTTTCTGGGGGCCCTGTCGTGCCAGGTTGAAAGACTGGAGCCTTCCATAAGACATGGATAGATGCAAACATGTCGGGCGGTTGCGGCTGGCCCAGGACCACTCCATCCTGAACCCGCAGAAGTGGTGCTGCAGGGAGTGCGCCACCACGGAGTCCGCGTGGGCTTGTCTCAAGTGCTCGCACGTGGCCTGCGGCCGCTACATCGAGGATCACGCCCTGAAACACTTTGAGGACACTGGGCACCCGCTAGCCATGGAGGTCCGAGATCTGTACGTGTTCTGTTACCTGTGCAAGGACTACGTGCTCAACGATAACCCCGAGGGGGACCTGAAGCTGCTCAGAAGCTCCCTCCTGGCGGTCCGCGGCCAGAAGCAGGACCCGCCGCTGAGGCGCGGCCGGACGCTGCGGTCCATGGCCTCGAGCGAGGACGCCGTCCCGCCGCAGCGCGCTCCTCAGGGACAGCCGCAGATGCTCACGGCTCTGTGGTACCGGCGCCAGCGCCTGCTGGCCAGGACGCTGCGGCTCTGGTTCGAGAAGAGCTCCCGCGGCCAGGCGAAGCTGGAGCAGCGGCGGCAGGAGGAGGCGCTGGAGCGCAAGAAGGAGGAGGCGCGGCAGCGGCGACGCGAGGTGAAGCGGCGGCTGCTGGAGGAGCTGGCCAGCGCCCCTCCGCGCAAGAGCGCGCGCCTGCTGCTGCACGCGCCGCGCGCCGCCGCCCCGCGGCCCGCCGCGCCGCGCGCTCCCGCCGCCGGCCGCCCCGCGCCGCGCCGCGCGCCTGCCATCGCGCCGGGCGTCACGGGCCTGCGCAACCTGGGCAACACCTGCTACATGAACTCCATCCTGCAGGTGCTCAGCCACCTCCAGAAGTTCCGCGAGTGTTTCCTGAACCTCGACCCTTCCCAGACCCGACAGCTGTTTCCCAAGGCCCCCAACGGGAAGGCTCCGCTCTCGGGCAGGCCGGCCAGCAGCTCGGCTACGGAGCTGTCGGCCAGGAGCGACCGGGCCGAGTCGTGCGGGCGGGAGGGCCTCTGCTTCAACGGTGGGGCCTCCATCAGCAGGAGCCTAGAACTCATCCAGAACAAGGAGCCGAGCTCGAAGCACATTTCCCTCTGTCACGAACTGCACACCCTTTTCCGTGTCATGTGGTCCGGGAAGTGGGCCCTGGTGTCGCCCTTTGCCATGCTTCACTCCGTGTGGAGCCTGATCCCCGCCTTCCGGGGCTACGACCAGCAGGACGCGCAGGAATTCCTCTGCGAGCTGTTGCACAAAGTGCAGCAAGAGCTCGAGTCCGAGGGCACCACGCGCCGGATCCTCATCCCCTTCTCCCAGAGGAAGCTCACCAAACAGGTCTTAAAGGTCGTGAACACCATATTCCACGGGCAGCTACTCAGTCAGGTAGGTTGGCCCACCCTGACACCTGTTCTGCCCATCGCACTGCAGGGGGGCTTGCTGGGTAGAGTTTGGGCTTCCTGTGAGCGCCTCCCCCAGGTTATCCGCGCGGGCGGACTAGGGTAGCCAACATTTGCTGTAATTAAGCATAGTGGAGGGTGACCATTGTACCTTTCATCATGCCATTGGCTGTATGGGCTCCTCGGTGAACTTGCCGCCTCTTTCTCGGCAGGTTTTCGGTTGAATTTGCCATATCGCTTCATTTTCAGTGAATGTCTTTAAGCTTTAATGACAATATAGGTCATATAATATTCTCATTGTTATAATTAAGGACCCATTGTTGACATGCCATTATAGGCGACCAAACAGCTTGCCTATAACCCAGGTTCCACAGCAGTTTGAAAGAGCATTCTTCCTTCCAGGACATTTCTTTACGTAAAAGGAAGGGAGGTGGCTAGGAGTATGCCCAAGGCCTAAGCAAGCCCCTCTCCTGTTCCTCATGACCTAGTCTTTTCTGGATTATTAGCCATGTACGGACATAGGCTAAGACTCATAATAAAGATTTTGTGAGTATGTGCAGAGAGAATTTTTAGAGTTAAAAAAAGTGGACAACTTAGGAGATTCAGGTAAAACTTCTACATTATGCTTCTGAGGTTTGTGTCTTGGTATTTTTAAAAGGATGCTGAATGGGATGGAAGAGAAGGTTTATTTAGGCTTCTGTGTTTTAGCATGTGAAAGGGGGACCATTTATGGGCACTTCCTCTACCCCCTGAGGCTCCACAGGAAGAAAGGTGCTTCTGGGAAGGTTTCAGTGGGAGAGAAGGTCTAATTAGGTACCTTAAGGCTCTTTGACTACAGGGATCTGTGTAGGGATACTGCAAGACTGGGAAGGTTTCAGTGGGAGAGAAGGTCTAATTAGGTACCTTAAGGCTCTTTGACTACAGGGATCTGTGTAGGGATACTGCAAGAAACAAGGGCAAAAAAGAGAGGCAAGTTGGAGGGGGCAGAAGGAGCAAAGTCTGGATGAGGAAGGAGTGAGGATGAGAGAAGCGGACAGGAATCTGCCAAATCTGTCCCAGATTGATCCGTGAGTGATCCCATGATAGCCTTCAATCTGTACTACCACAGCATTGAAAGGTAGAGCCTGCTTTGGAACAGAAGAGAGAAGGGGTAGGTAATAATCTCTGTGCTGCGTGGGTTCCTGGTTCCAGCTAGCATAAGAGTTAGCAATGTATACCAGAAGTAATATGCTCTAATGCTCTTAAAGTTACACTTGTTATTTTAATATTACAATGAAAGATTTTTTGAAAACTACACTTAGTTTTGGGTAAGTCATGTGTTTTGTATAAATCGAGCAAAAGTGTATGGGAGATTACGTAACCTGTGAATCAATCTTTTCATTCTAGGTCACATGTATATCATGCAATTACAAATCCAATACCATTGAGCCCTTTTGGGATCTGTCCCTGGAATTCCCTGAGCGGTATCACTGCATAGAAAAGGGGTTTGTCCCTTTGGATCAGACAGAGTGCCTGCTCACTGAGATGCTGGCCAAGTTCACAGAGACAGAGGCCCTGGAAGGGAGAATCTACGCTTGTGACCAATGTAACAGTGAGTGCTGGGAAGTGGAAGGGGGGTGGGGGGGGTGTGCACCTGGAATATCAATTTAAGATGCTGCTTTTCCCCTTTTAGTCAAAAGTAACACTGATAATATTGAGTGGTTCTAAAGCATCTTTTAAAGATTTTTTTTCTCCCATTTTCCTAAAAACAAGCATGTGGGCGTCCTATGTTAAAAAAACAAAACAAAACCTAGGTGTTGGGCTTCCTTTGACTCCTGCTGTGATTGACATTAGTAGTTATCTCCAGAGGCATTTGAAAGTGTGGATCCTGAAATAGGGACTCTAAGAATGTTAGCACTGGGGCGCCTGGGTAGCTCAGGCGGTTGGGCGGCTGACTTCTACTCAGGTCATGATCTCAAGGTTCTTGGGTTCGAGTCCCACGTCGGGTTCTGTGCTGACCGCTAGCTCAGACCCTGGAGCCTGCTTTGGAGTCTGTGTCTCCCTCTCTCTCTGACCCCTGCTCATGCTGTCTCTCTCAGAAATAAATAAAACGCTAAAAAAAAAAAAATGTTAGTACTTAGCTTTGTAGTACTACAAGGGTCCTGCTTAAATTCATGAATATAGATTTGACACTTCTTATTTCACCTACAGTCAGGTGGCTTAGCGTGTTTGAGGGTTATGGTGTCAGAAACATGTATTTTTGTACTGAATTTGTGGATTTCAAGTCTGTCAGAATTGATGCTGAATATTGGTATGAGACCAAGAAAGCAAGTCCTAAGGGGCATCAGCTTCATGGTTACTTTCTGCATGTGTTTCACAGGCCTTCACAGGCCGTGCACTGGGGGAGGTGGGGAAGGAGGTCATAACGTATCTCTGTCATGGCTCTAATTTTACATAACGTATCTCTGTCATGGCTCTAATTTTAAAGTGGAACTCTTCCCATGTGGTGACATAGACGTCCAACGCAGAGCTCCTTCTGTCTTGCCACACTGACACTCCATGCTTTTGCTAACCCAGCACATACAGCAGGAATACAGAGCAAATGCTTGGAAAACTCATGTTTGGGTTTTTTGGCATGTCAAGATTGGGAAGCTAAGATTAATGGGTTGTGTAGATATCTTGAAATCAATTTGCAACCAGAAAATAATTTGGACTACAAGTTTTGAGAGCCACAATCTTATAATGACCCTTCTTAATATATTTGCATATGATCTTTTGAAATAGTAAATTGTGGGAAATATGTTTTCCCTAAAGAAATCAGGACAAAAATCAACAGTCATACTTGATAGAATTTTGTCACTTTTTTTTTTTTAACGTTTATTTATTTATTTTGAGAGAGAGAGATAACACACATGAGCAGCAGAGGGGCAGAGAGAGAGGGAGAGAGAGAATCCAGGCTGTCAGCACAGAGCCTGACATGGGACTCGATCCCATGAACCACAAACCATGAAATCATGAGTTGAGTGGAAATCAAGAATCAGACACTTAACTGACTGAGCCACCCAGGCGCCCCACTTTGCCATTTTAAAACGCTGTACTTGGTTGACTGTAGAGTCACCTGCCCTGTTCCTCATTGAGATGTAAAGATAGTGACTTAAATGATCTTAGTAACAGCAGTATCTATTTGGTTTTCCTTTTTTTTTTTTTTAAAAAAAATGTTTATTTTTGAGAGAGAGAAACAGAGTGCAGCTGGGGGAGTGGGGGACAGAGAGAGAGGGAGACACAGAATTGGAACCAGGCTCCAGGCTGTGAGCTGTCAGCAAGGAGCCCTACGCGGAGCTCGAATCCACAAACCATGAGATCATGATCTGAGCCGAAGTCAGACACTCAACTGACTGAGCCCCCCAAGCAGCCCCTATTTTGCTTTCTTAAGACAGTGATTTGTAAAGCTTTTTACTTGTAAGGAACAGAAGGATGTTAACAGCTTTAACTCCATAATTCTCAGACATGATAGATTGGGCAAGAAATATTTTTATTGATTTTTGCAAGAAAGCCTTGTTTTTCTAGTTGCCAGATGTGCCAGTTTATCAGGATTTCTCTAGGCAGGTTCAGATAATAGCAGGGAAGCAAATCTATGGCTCAAGTACGAGATGCATTGTTGTTGCTTGTGAGGTTTCAAAACTATCAGTCTTCTCCCTCTCTGTGTGGCCAGCTTAATCAAATGGAGACAGAACTGATCAATCTCCGCTGAATCAGTCATTTCCTTTTCTTTGTGAATTTCATTTTAGGGAAACAAAGCCAGATTCTATATTGTCTTCATCGTAGCTCACATACTCCCTCTGCTGAGAGTGGCAGTCACTGCCAAGGTTCCCAGGCAGAGCTGCAATAATTTTTGAAAATCCACTGGTGAATCAGAATGTAAAATAAGGCCAGGCCCCTCTTTGGATTCTCCTTCTGTTGAGGCCCCTTACATGTCATGACCACCGGCCCTAGTAAAAGGTTCTGTGGCACACTCGTGTTGCTGCAGTCCATTATGAGACCAGCAGCTTCACCTCCTGTTGTCGCAGGAAGCTGCATGGAGCGTCCTCTGGCTGTGATTTGCTACCCTCCACGAGTGGTACAGGTATAACTTAGTGGTACAGGTATAACCTAGAGTCAGGTGGCAGGTTCTTCAGACACTGAGACCATGTCTCAAAGACAATTAGCAGGCACCACAGTGGACCACTAACCACTAATTTTATATTCCCCTCCATTCACCAGGCTGATTAATATAATAACGGAGTAGTCATTTGTAAATGGTTATAGAGAAGGCTTCTGATGGAAATTAAGAGAATTTTATTTCCATGGTTTATTTGATGTAACTTATTTTTTTTTTAACGTTTACTTCGCTTTTTGAGAGAGAGATAGAGCACAAGTGGGGGGGTGGGGCTGAGAGAGAGGGAGACCCACAATCCAAAGCAGGATCCAGGCTCTGAGCTGTCAGCAGAGCCCAACGTGGGACTCAGCTCACAAACCGTGAGACCATGACCTGAGCTGAAGTCAGACACTTAACTGACTGAGCCACCCAGGATTCCCTGTTTGATGTAATTTAGAAATGCATTCTCCTCGGGACACCTGGGTAGTTCAGTCAGTTGAGTGTCCGACTTTGGCTCAGTTCATGATCTGTGGTTCGTGAGTTCAAGCACCACACTGGGCTCACTGCTGTCAGACTGCCAGCACAGCCCACTTCGGGTCTTCTGTCCCTCTCTTTTTGCCCCTCCCCCGCTTGCACTCTCCCCAAAATAAGTAAATATTAGAGAAAAAAGAAATGCATTCTCCTCACAAGTCAGTAGCTTCAGAAATAAAATTGGACTCTGAGCACTGCTCCTACTTTGGACTGGAAGAATTTGGCCAGCTTGCCACCTTTGTCCTACATGTTCGGTAATGTGCTTTTCCAAGAAAATGGCTCAAAAACTAGGTAGTATAAAACTACAAAACCAGCAGTTTCTTTTCTAAGTAGTTGTATATGCCACAAACAAATCATGCTTAAAAAAAATCTGTTTAAATATTCTGTCCTGGGGCGCCTAGGTGGCTCCGCCAGTTGAGCATCCGACTTTGGCTCAGGTCAGGATTTCGTGGCTTGTAAGTTCGAGCCCTATGTCAGGCTCTTTGCTGACAGCTCAGAGCCTGGAGCCTGCTTCCGGTTCTGTGTCTCCTTCTCTCTCTCCCCCTCCCCCACTCACACTCTTGTCTCTCTCTCTCAAAAATAAACATTAAAAGGGGCGCCTGGGTGGCTCAGTCGGTTAAGCGTCCGACTTTGTCTCAGGTCATGATCTCCCGGTTCAAGGGTTCAAGCCCCGCGTGGGTCTCTGTGCTGACAGCTCAGAGCCTGGAGCCTGCTTCAGATTCCATGTCTCCCTCTCTCTCTGACCCTCCCCTGCTCATGCTGTCTCTCTCTCTCTCTCAGAAATAAATAAAACATTAAAAAATTTAAAAAAAAAAAAAGGAGAATGCATATTGAGTGGCAAGTCATTGTCTCTGCCCTAGCTAGGAAAGAATGAGACTCCTCACAATCTCTGTCTTCTGCCTTCCCACGCCATATAGGCAAACGACGAAAATCCAATCCAAAACCCCTTGTTCTGAGTGAAGCTAGAAAGCAGTTAATGATCTACAGACTACCTCAGGTCCTCCGGCTGCACCTTAAAAGATTCAGGTGAGCTTGCCCTGGGGCCTTCCAGGTGGCTGTGAGCTGTGGGGTAGCTGCTTCAAAGGCTTTGGTATTGGGAGGGGAAGCCTGTTCCCTAGAGACCCTGCACTTTCCATGGCGATTAAATGCTTCATGCCCAGTAAAGCAAGCTAATGTTGGAGCCCAGGACAGGGCTTCCGCCCTCACAGCCCGATGTAACCAGCTGGCCTGCACTGGGTGTTCGAGCTTAATTTTCTAGCCTCGTTGGACTATATAGAGTCATCTTCAGAATCTAGCATGATAAAATCTGTGAAAAGAAGGGCAGGCAGTAAACTACAAAAAGATTATTTTAGGGATTTCTAGTTTCAGAGTACATCACGGAACGTTCACAGGAAATATATGCGGATACTGATCACTGTTTTATTGATGCACAAATCAAATCTGGAAGGTTATGTTTTCTCATTTCTCTGTTTTACCTTCCTCTACCTATGATAGCATATGCCATTTTTTACTAGTAAGAAATTTATATTCATGTTTTAGGTGGTCTGGCCGTAATCATCGAGAGAAGATTGGGGTCCATGTCGTCTTTGACCAGGTATTAAACATGGAACCTTACTGCTGCAGGGACATGCTCTCCTCTCTTGACAAAGAGACCTTTGCCTATGATCTCTCCGCAGTGGTCATGCACCACGGGAAAGGGTTTGGCTCAGGACACTACACAGCCTATTGCTACAACACAGAGGGAGGTGCGTGCGCTTGACTCTGTGGGGTGGGGGACACGGAAAAGGGTTGGTTTGTCCACATTCCATCACTTTCCTTTTATTTCATCTTTAGAGGGATATTGCATACATTAAAACCCAGTGGAAAAAATTATGAAAGTTGGATTCAAATTTTGGATATATCACGAAGTGACAACATAAGATTGCTCTAAGAATTGACAGGAACTGACACATGTAAAAGTATTTAGCATGGTTCCTAGCACATAATGCTCAGTTAACGTTAGACATTCTATTATTTAAAAAAGTTTTTTTAATGTCTGTTTATTTTTGAGAGAGAAAGAGACAGAGCATGAATGTGGGAGAGGCAGAGAGACACACAGAATCTGAAGCAGGTTCCATCCAGGCTCTGAGCTGTCAGCACAGAGCCTGATGCAGGGCTCGAACTCACAATCTGTGAGATCATGTCCTCAGCTCTAGTCAGATGCTTAACTGACTGAGCCACCCAAGCACCCCTAGACATTCTAATATTAATGCTTCTGCAGACCTCTGTTTCCTTTGTGGCTATGCAAAAATGGTAGGGCTTACCTCACCTCACAGAGATCATGTATGAATCTCATGAGCCCCACCTCATCAAACTGAAGACATTTAATGGGCACTTACTGTATCCTTACCATCTCCCTTACCATGGGAGGTGTGGGGATACAAGGGCCCCTCCCAAGGAGCTTCAGTCCCCGTACCCCAGAGCAGTCTCCCAGGTATTATACTGAGGCACATGGGCTGCAGATGTGCTTTCAGTAATAAACCCCTTAGCCCTTGGGGCAGCCAGAGTGAAATAACTTTTTATTCCTTCTAAATTTTCCTTTATCACTCCTCCATTTGCATTTCACCTCTCCTCCTCTTCCCATCTCTTAGCCCCCAGTCTTCAGTCTGTCTTTGTAGAAGGCCCTAGTGGGCAATGGAAAAGCCTGAGTGAAACGAGGACAAAAATTATAGTCAGTCAGTCCGTATGAGTATTGTGGTGGGGTTTGATGGGGTTAAAGCCAGTGGTTGCAGGGAAGTCTGTCGGCTTCATTTACCTGTAAGTCTTCCCCACCACCACCAGTCAGGGGTTGGCTCTATGCAGAACTCCTCTGTCCCTTTCTTCATCTCCTGGTTTTGCCTGCTGACTGGAAATGAAAATTGGATAGTCATTTTCTCTCTCTTTCCTTTGGTTTCCTAGGTTTTTGGGTCCACTGCAATGACTCAAAGCTGAATGTATGCAGTGTCGAGGAAGTGTGCAAAACTCAAGCCTACATCCTTTTTTACACACAAAGAACAGTTCAGGGCAATGCAAGAATTTCAGAAGCTCAACTCCAAGCTCAGGTGCAGTCCAGCAACAACGATGAGGGCAGACCACGGACCTTCCCCTGAACGGGAGGCATGTGTCAAGGACTGGCTTACTTTTGAACTGTTGGTGTTCATCCATCTTTCCTCTTATAGGAAATAAGGTCTAATGCAGGAACAGATTGCTAGGTTTGCCTCACTGGAACTACGGCAGAAGGTGCCAGGTGACTCCTGTCCTATCATACGATCTGTAGTCACTTTCTTTTGAATGGATTTGGGAATTCCCTCTTTGATAAAACACATCAAAAGGAGTAACTTCTATGAAGATTCTTTCATCAGTTGCTTCTGCAGATAGAGGATCTGGGTGGAAGAAAGAGGGAGTAAGCTGATCAGATGCAGCCAGGAGAGCAGCCATGTTTTCTTTCCACTCTGTGATTCCCCCAGGAGTCAGGGCCTCCTTGCAGCACCAGAGGAGCCGTCCTGTTGTGAGGAGCCCGGGACAGAGCACATGAGGTGGGGCCCTGGGCTGGCAGCTTGCTGGATGAGACTGGTTCCAGGCAGGAGGTGAATAATAAGGACTTGTTCCTACAAAGGAAGTAACCATCAAGGGTTGAAAACTTGCAGACTTCCCTTTTTAGGGGATAGCAGTGGAAGAGTGGAATGAGATGCATAGAGCAAATTCCCATCCCCCACCCTCACCCCCACCAAATGGGAGGTTGGTCCGGTGTCCTGCCCTCCTGGCTGCTGCTGTCATTTAATCATTCCACATCTTCTGAGACTGGCATGAACCACCCTCCATCCTAAAGAACGAGCAGTTCACCTAGGGAAGCAATACATTGTCCGTGACATGTCCTTCGTTGCACACTGAGCCGGAGGGCATTCCTGGCTACCCAGTTCTGTAGCATATCCCTGGTTCAGGTGTAGGGCAAGCACATGGTTTGGTTTAAATTGGCCTTTAGGTCCGCTGTCTGAGGCTTTCTCAGAACTCAGTGGAGGAGAGGCAGAGATAGCCCGTGGTCCAGGCCTTACCTGAATGCCTATCACCTGTCCTCACCTCGGTGCAGCATGCAGCTTTTCTTCGCCTGCAGCAGCTTTCTTGTGCCTGGAGGGCTAGAACATTCTTGTTCAACACAAGGTTGGGGAATTTCTGCTTTTCTAGGGCTGAGGAATCTGCCCCCGTATATCCAAGCAGTTCACTGCTGCTGGCCCCAGCCCATCTCCTCCTACATCTGATAATCCCTACTGCTTCTTTACCCACCTGCACTCAGTCCAGCAGAGGAAAAAAGAGTGCCCTGTCCTTTACTTAAGTGCTGGTAAAATACATCTTTGTTTATGCTGGGTCAGTTTCTAAGTGGAATGAAACCGCTCAGATGGAAACCCTCCACCGCATCAGGCACCACTGAATTTCCCTTCTCAGTCCTTCAGTTAGACTCACCAGTAAAAGTGAACGCAGACCAGAACTGTCATCATGGGGGCTGCCGCCATCGACCTCTACCTGTCATGAATGCTCATCTTTTGACTGAGTGTATCATACGAACATTTCAGTTCAGGTAGGAGTACAGCTGTCGCTTGAAGGAAGCAGATGTGGAGGGAGTTTGGGGAAGGGTGGGAGGTTGGGACAAGAGAGCGTAAAGAATGAGGGTCGTAGCTTAGGGGTGTGGGTGAGCCCCATTTCCAGAGTGGATCTGTAGCACTTGCTGTTGATCTCTTTTGAGATGGACTCTCCCGTAGGACCTGACAGACAGCACTGAGACACAGAGAAAATTCAGACAGAAAATGGCTCACTTGGATAGAGAAGGGGGAGTGACTATGTTTTAAATTAAACTTGCTTTTTCCAACACTGTGAGGTTTCTGTAATATTTAGCTTTTATTTGGAAGCGATAGCGTATGGCATTTTTTATGCTGTTTGGTTTATATTGTCTACTGCAGGCTTTTTTGTACAAGCTTGGCCCCGGGCTCACCCTCTCCTGGACACTGTTTTAAAGTGTCACAGCTGCCCTTGCTGCCGGAGGCCCTGATGTAAAGCTGTGCTCTCTAGATCCGCGGTTTTAAGTTGGCAGGACTGGTGGAGACTTTCTGTGGCAATGGAAAAGCCCATGAACTTAAAAAAAAAAAAAAAAGTAAAAAGGAAAGGAAAATAGGAATTGTGCCTCATCTTTCTTTGAATGCCGTATTTATTATTCTAGAAAAAGAGAACTTACACATCGAAAAGAACTAGAGCATCTACTTCACCCCTCAGGCCGTCTAGGGGGGAAATACTTCAGAAAAATGAACATTTAATGGAAAACTAAAAAATCTTCAAATTTAATTTTTAAAAATAGTTTTATACCAAATATCTATAAGAATTATTAAGCAGATTTAAGGATTTTGTAAAATAAGTGCTTCACTTAGCTGAGCACCCGTGTATCAAATTACTAAGATGGTTTCAAAGGAGTTGGACTAGAAGCCACGACAGAGTCCTCCCTGAGCTGCCTACCCTTGAAGGTGCCCCTGCAGTCACAGACACCTCAGGTACCCAGAGGCAGCAGCACTAGACGCTGTTGAGAAGTTAGTATTTATGGAGATTTTTATTAAAAGAGTTCCCTGCTGCAGAAGCCAGTGGCTATTGTGAGGGAAATTCCCTTTGCCTTTAATTTATTTGCATATTGGAAGTAGATGGAATTCTTAGTTGCATCTTACTTTAAGCTGAAACATTCTAAAGGGAAGAAACTAAGAACCAGGTGGAAGTTGACTTGATGCTGCCAAATCAAACCCAAGATCTCCTAACTGAACCTTAGGGGCCTGTTTCTCCCAGACAAGCAGTTAGAGTCCCGTTCCCGGAGCCCTTCGTAGTTGGCTGGTGTGTTTACTTTCTGCCGTAGCCAGCCAAGATGAATGCACCCTGGCCCTCCGAAAGGAGTTTTACCTCAATCTAGCTTGACCCTCATACTTGCGGCTGCCTCAGAGTACGCATCCATGCTAGTGTTTAAAAAAAAAAAGTTAGGCATGCCCTCAACAGCCAGGAACTGAAGCTCTTATTAAATGGCAGGCAGAGCTCTTGCCAGCTTTGATCCAGTCCCCTCTCAGGCTGAGGGGGGCAGTGCCACACTGTAAAGAATTTCCAGATGTCTCTTAAAATGTCATGAATAAAATTAGAAACTGTAGAAGTGTTAATGTGTCCTATGGACTCAATAGCAGAGTTTATTTTTGTTTTAAATGGCAAGGCTTCTAGAGTCAATGATTGTACGTGTTCCCCACACTGGCTATGCTTACAGTTCCATCGCAGAGCAAGAGCTAGTGGCTGGGTTGGCTGGGCAGTGGGGCATGGCCCCAGCCAGGCCCCAGAAGCCTGAGAGAGGTTGACAGTAGTACAGAATGAAAACTTGGTTGGGTGTGGGGGGGAGGGGGGGGCGGCAAGCAGGGAGGGGGAAATGGAGTTTGTTTTACTTATTGATAAAGCTTTGTGAACTAATTTTATACAATTCATAACATTTGGTGCCTTGTACCCAGTTATGGTTTGCATGGGATTGAAAAGATAAAGGAAGGGAAAGGATGCCTCCTTTTCATTTTAAGTGGCAAATGGGTCTGTATAGTGTAAAGAACATTTGGTATCAGACTTTTTAAAAGCATTTCATTTCATGTGTGTGAAAGATAATTATTACCAGCAAATTCTGAAATCTTACTGTAATGTCCAAAATCTGAAATCTTACTGTAATGTCCAAAATCTTTGGATTTGTGACTCTTCATCAAATGGCTGCTTTTCAAGGCAGACTATGTACCCTGTTCTTTTTTACCACTCCTTTTGTGTTCCAAACATGAACTCGGGCCTTTTTGGGTAGGCTGGGAGTGCTACCTCTTCCTAAACATGTACTATATACCCTTGTCAGGTTACATCTTCTAAGTGGAAGGGTTGCTTTCCAGCTGGTTGGGAGAGCACAAATGTTCAGAAAGGGCCTTTTTTTCCCCTAATGCTTGGCAACTTAGGGTAGAAGTCAAACAAAAAAAGGATTCCTCCTGAAGTATTACTATTACCTTCATTAGTTCTGAAGTACTTTTGCACAAAATTTCAGGAAGCAGTGTAGAACACATTCCCCTGTATGTGAACCTTGAAATTGTAAGGCAAGCCAGTGCACTGTGTAATATGCAAAAGAGAAGGCTCGAAGAACCTGTGCCAGCCGCCCGGGCCCCAGCCCCTTTCCCTGGCAGGTGCCGAGCAGCTGTGGAAAGGGAGAAGACTCAGTCCGCTCACCTGCAGAGCTGTTTATAGCCTGTTCCTTTTACTCGGACCTTAAGGTTTCCAATGAGCTCACGAGACATCACCAAAGGGTGTTTAGAAAGCTCACCACTTGAAGCACATTTGATAGCTGGTTCCCTCAGCCTAATTACTGGCTTAATTAGGTGAGGAGGTTGTACTTTTGGAGAAAAATCTCCCATGGCAACTTAGGTTTTTACCCGGTAAGTATGCATCTTCCTGGTGGTGGTTTTTTTTTTTTTCAAGTCAGCACTAAAGCTGAAAAGCGCCTTCTAAATATGACTGGGACTTTAGTTTATTATCTTCCACGTTTAACCATTCTCTTGGTCTAGGGCTTTGACTTGAACCAAGTGTTATTTTTTTCTTTCAAGCCAAACATTGCTCTAAATACACCATAGCTGCTAGGCTATGCTAGCATTAAGGCAAATGGTCATTTTTGTGGATTCTTTCCTTCTGCTGGCATGTTTCCATTTAAAATCTAACTAGGGAGTAGAAGAGATTTTCATAGTACTGGTAACCAGGCAGGGCTGAATGTCATGTGACCCATATAAAATGGACTTTCCTTGGGGAGGGTGTTGAGTTGGAATGGTGAAAGCCAGCATTTTCATTTACAAAATTATTGACTGCTTATCAAAAGTCTGGGGAATTGTAGAATTGAGAGCTCTGCTCGCTCGAGTCTTAACACTTTTGAGGAATGAAGCCAGTTTAAATGAAACTTTACCTTGCCAGTATTATGGCTTTAAAAACCAACTAACCATAAACACTATTACTTGAAGCTGAAACATTAAATTTTGAGTGAAATGTGAATTATGCTTTTGGAAGCTGCCATGTCTTAATTGCTGGATTTTTCTTTTCAACTTTAAAAAACTTTTTATTTAAAATAGAACTGTTCAGTTAGGAGTAGGATCGGGTTGCAGACTTCAAGGATGTGTTTCATACCAATGAAACAGGACAGGAGGTGCTGGTATTGGTCTTAGAGGTCTGATGCAGCTCTGAAGGGGCTTAGAATCCATGCTATGACTTAAACGTTTCCTTCCTGGTCACCTTTTGAGAGGTGATGGCTTCAAACCTAAGCCTTGCTCTCCTGTATGTGATGCTTCCTCATCTTTACACCCAGTAAGTTACAAACCTATCAAATCATCTGTGGTGCCAGTACAGATAGATTCTTAAGAGGGTGTTGGCCTCATGGTGAGCCAGCCACAAGCCTGAAATCACAGCTCAAACGTCTCCCTAACAGGTGGGACCTACCCGATCAATACAAGAGAATGGTGCTTTTTAAAATACATACACAATCTAATTCTCAGATTTCTTAACGAGATTTATGCCAGTAGTGTCAAGAAGGAGTTTTGTCCTATTTACCTTTTGTGAACAGATTGCTAGACATCTGTCAACCCTAACAATTAGGCCGCCGTGGTGCATTCATATTGACCTCTCTTTCCAATTCATGTCCATTAATCCCATACCAGTTCCACAGGAGACTTGGCATGGAAAAGCAGGACTTTAAAAAATGCCTAGTAGATGGGGTGCCTGGCCGGCTCAGTCAGAAGAGCATGTGACTCTTCATCTCAAGATCATGAGTGTGAGCCCCATGTTGGGTGTGCAGATTACTTAACTAAACTTAAAGTAAAATAAAATAATAAAGATACCCACTCTACTACAACAATGCCCCCTTGGTGCCTGGAAAACCCACCTGGTGCACTAAACGCTATGCAACACCAAATGGCTTCTTCCTCTGGTTCTGATCAAAAATGTAAATTCCTCAAAAATAAGTTTCCTCTTACATTCACATCAAGTACAGTGGCTACAATTTCCTTTTTTTTTTTAATCTTTTAATGTGAAGCAAACCACCTGTTACAATCCATGTTTGAGGCTTGTTCCTGTCTCTCGAGTGTGAAATATAAATCATGTTTTTATGATTTTTGTAAATCTTGACTTTTTACACCTTGTTTTTGTAAGCCGAAGTTTCTTATTAAAAGAATAAAAGGATTGGTCTTTGTGTGCAATCTTTATTCCAAATATTTGTTAAAATACCATTAAAATACCATTCCTCAGGACAAAAGCAAAAACCACCCACTGCAGAAACTTCAGAACTATGTACAGAACTTTACAGAACAGAGGACAACACTTTGGCTGAAGCCTGACTGAAAACCAGAGAATGGAGTTCTGAGTGGGCTCAACGAAGAAAAGGCAATCGGGGCAGGAAGGTGCCCATCTGAATGAACCTTCAACTTCCATCAGGGAAAAGTCTTGTGATGGTCAAAGACTCCAGGCTGTTTTTGGAAGGTTGGAGGTTCCACAGGGGGTTCCATGTGTCTGCAATCAGAGACACATGACAACGGGTGGCATTAGAAATGTAAAAGCCTGAAGGGAAATTACTAAGAGACTCAAAATTTCTTCCAACACCTGTAAACATATTTAGGTAGGAGTAGTCAAGGGCCTATGTCAAGTCTCTCCTTTATTTTGTAAATAGAAAATAAAGATAAAAATTATTACTTCTCTCTGCCTTGAGGGCTCCTAGGCACGCAGAGCATTGGTTAAGTGCTTACCTATTTGGCTATACCCCTGGCTGAGGGGCCATTAGGTCAATGTCACTCAAATTCCTGGCCAGCCAAACGCCCGCAGCAAAAAGTCCCAAATTGAGGATCAAGTTCCTGGAAAAAGAGTATTTTATTAACACTGTGCTCACTGAAGCGCTTGTCTTAATGAAAATACTACGGGAAAAGGTTTTATCATCACCACCCTGGAAAAACTTCCCGGGGCAAAAACACTGTTCTAGAACTGCAGGAGGGAGGATCTTTACAAAGGTAGGCTGCCCACGACCCACGTGGCTACTTGGCTTTCGTTCCCGGGTCTAATAGGATCCAACGCAAAGGCCAGTTAAGCACTCGCCCAGGGCCGAACAGCCTGTGTGTGTTGGCGCCTCTTCTTTCCAGCCCAGTTACTGAAAAGGTCGCTTTTGCCGCACGGGAACTCTCCCAGCCAAGGACCTCCCCAAAGGATAGCCGGAGTCACTACGAGGCCAAGACGCTGGCAAATGCAAAGGCGCCAACTTGGGCGAAGAAGGGGAGTATGGGAGGTGTGTACAGGGGAGCAGAGGGCCAGAGAGGGACAAGTTTCCGGGCCTCGGTTACCTCCGGAAATCGTTCCTGTCGGTGGCGAAGCGGTAGACGCCCCGAAGCCAATCTCCCACGTTGTCCGGAATTTCGGGAGCTTCATTTGCCGCGCCCGGAGCGCTCACGGCGACCCCACTGGAAGCCATAGCAGCACCCTCTAGATCCACAAGGCCTCGCCCGACGCACCGTGTCGGCGCCGGAGGATTACGCAACTTCCGGTCTCGCACTTCCGCCGGCTACGGGCCGGCAGGGGGCGCAGCTGCTCCAGCGAGGTCCGGTGCCTAGGAGGGAGAACTCCCGGACTGCGCGTCCCCGAGCCCGGCAAGGGGAGGAGCGCGGCCTGGCACTACGGTCGCCAGGCCGCGTCCCGCCTCTGGCTCCCTCCTGGCCTTCATCTCGCCAACCTTGTCACCGCCACACGTGGTCTCTGAGTGATCACTTCATTGGCTCGGGAAGAGGATAAGGACGGGGATGTCTCAGCCTCTGGGGGTGGGGATAGGGTTTAGCTCAGCAGGGGATGCATAGCTTTGGGAGGGGGGTTCCCCAAGAAAGTCTCCATCAGAAGTCATAGAATACGCAGGCCTAAGAGGGGGCACTCCAAGTTTGTGGTCTCGCCGCCTCTCCCAGGCGTGCCCTGGACTGCGTTCAGTCTAGGATTTTTATACGGGTGGGAGAGCCTCATTCTCACAGATCACACACCCCCTCCCCCTGTTCCGGGCTGCGCCGCTAGCAAATAGTGCAGTGCTTCCTGGAGGTGTCGCTGTCTCCAGCTTGGAGGCTTCCGGGGGTCTTCCAGGGCCCTGGAAGGCGCTGGCCCAAGAAAAAGCCTTCGGGTTCCGAGTCAGAAGAAGAGGAGCAGGTGGGGCAGGGGGCATCCTCCTTGGAATCGAGGGGCGTCTCCGGGTGACCCTGCTCCCGCCCTTTGGGTGCCTCCGCCTTGTCCCCAGTTTGACGCTCCTGCTTTGGACTGGCTCCAAAAAGGTCCTTCTGGGCTTCCGGACTGGAGTGGGGGTCAGTGGCAGGAAGGGCTGCTTGGGAGACCGTAGTGGCATCCAGCGGGGTGCGGTCCCTTTCTTCAACTCTGTCAAGACCCTCATCCCCTGTTCCGGGCCGGGTCAGAAACGCCCATCTCAGAGCCGGGAGTCTCCCACTCGGGGACCAGAGAGGGGCGGGCCCCAGAAGTCAGTCTCAGTTGGGGCCCGGCCCCACCCCCCGCCCCGCCCCGCCCCTGAGCCGTGCGCGCTGCCGCCGCGGACGCGACAGCTCCACCGGGCACCCCCGCCCCTCCCCGCCGCCGCCCACCAGAGGGCGACCGCGTCCCCAGTCGGGGAGTGAGTCCCGCGCCGCAGCCCCAACGGTGGCGCGGGGTGGGTTCGGGAGGTCCTTGGAGCGCTCCGGCCAGGGACGCGCGGTGAGAGCTGCGGGCCCCGAGCCTCGGGTCTGGGGGTGGGGTGCGGTGGGGGGCCGGGGGCGCTGCTGGAGGGACGGGAAGGCGTGGGACCGAGGCGAGGGTCCCAGCCCGGGAGAACCCCCTCCTCAGTCCAGCCCAGCCTAAGCCGCTGCCCCCTTACCCTTTGGTCAGCACCTTCTCCTCCCTTACCGAGGGACGTCCTACCTTCCAGTGTCTGGGCCCGGCTCGAGCCGGAATCCGAGTAGCGACTCTCAAAGCAGCTGGGGCAGCAGGGGCCGCCCCCCGGCAGGGCATAAAGTCCCCCGCCCAAGGGCCCGGCGCAGTCCTGACAGCAGAAGTGGTTCTCGTGCCAGCGCCGTCCCTCCGCCTCGGTGCAGCGCCGGGAGAAGATCAGCTGGGAGAGGGAGGGAGAACAGTTCATTCATTCATTCATTCATTCACTCGCTCATTCATTCACCCAATAACCACGCCTTATACCCAGTTAACGCTAAAGCACGTCTACAGACCTCCCATCTGATATACTCAACCACTCGGATGCAGGGAGGGCTGATGGGCCTAGCCAGGATCCTGCTAGCAGGTGGCACAGTCTGAAGAAGTGCGACCCTGGTCGCTTGGACTCCCAACCCAGGGTTCCGCTCTGCCTTATACTGACAGTATGGCACTTCCTCGCCCTGGCAGGCACAGCACTGGGCACCAGGAAAACTGAGACGAACGTCTGTCCAACAGTCCCTGCTCCGGAGAAATTCTTAGTCCAAGAAAGTCTGGGGGGACTCTTGCTTGCAGTCGGGGAGGGCACAAGGCAACGCGTCAGAACGCAGGGAACACACAGGTCCCAGGCCGGTTCGGAGTTCTCCTCCATTCCGGGGTACCGGCAGAGGTGTCCCCTTACATCCTGACACACTGGGCCCTGGGCAACCCTCCCAGGCTGCGCGCCCCGCCCCCACCCCCTTCGGCCCGGGCCGTACCTGGTCACAAGCCGGGCAGCGCGGCCGCAGCAGCTCTGCGTGATGGCGGCCGCAGTAGAGACGCCCGTCGTGGTAGAAGTAGATGAGGTTTATCAGGGCCTGGCCGCAGGCCTGGCAGGCAAAGCAAGCTCGGTGCCAGCAGCGCCGCTCCCCTGCCCGGGCCGCGAACACTCCGTACTCGCCTGGCCTCAGCCGCTGCCTGCACTGCTGGGCGCGGAGGCTCGGCTGCTCAGAGGCGCGTCGTGCTCCTAGCTTCCCTCCTGGGCTGCCATCCCAACCCCAGACTAACTGTTCTCCCCACACCCCTGGCAAGCCCACCTCCCCTGCAGGCTCCCCCCAAGAACCCCTGAACTTGGCTTCTCTTTTTCCTCAGTTTACCAAACTGTCAATCCCCAAACCCCCTCTCCTTCCCCCCCCCACCCCCCCAGTCCCTGGAGCTAGCCCCGTGTGCAGAAGTGAGAGGGCAAAGCGGAATGGGGGAGGGGGACACTACCTACCTTCTCACAGGTGTGTTCGGGCAGCTTGGGAGGTAGCAGGAGGGCCACCCCCTGTCCCAGGGCCTCCCGCCTCCTCTGAGCACAGAAGAGCCGCAGCTCAGCCAGCTCGTCCTCCCCAAGGGCCAGGCAGTAGCGCTCCTGCACAAAGAGGCCTCCCCTGTGAGCGGGGGGAGCCCAGCAGGCAAGCCTGAAGCTTGACCGGAGGGAGAAGGCTTAGCCGCTGGGTCAAAGGAAGGTCGTAGAACCTCCAGGAGGTGCAAAAGATGACAGCACAGAAGGGCATTGAGAAGGAGAGGGAAAGAGGGGAGAGAGTTGGACTAAGTCTACGTCAGCCTCACTTCCCCCCAGGAATGGCCGCCACTCGGGTCCTGATGGCCCACAGCACTGAGCCCTGTCACCACATATAGATCCCTGCCCCCAGGGAGCTGGGACTCACTATTACTTTCTGTTGTGTTTTTCCAAGTTACTCCACGTTCTCCTGTCTTTAAAAAAATTTTTTAATGTCTTTTTATTTATTTCTGAGAGAGAGAGAGAGACAGAGAGAGAGAGAGAGACAGCGTGAGCAGGGGAGGGTCAGAGAGAGAGGGAAACACAGAATCCAAAGCAGGCTCCAGGCTCTGAGCCAGCTGTCAGCACAGAGCCCGATGCGGGGCTTGAACCCACGAACCATGAGATCATGACCTGAGCCGAAGTCAGACACTTAACCGACTGAGCCACCCAGGCGCCCCTCATGTTCTCCTGTCTTGCCTCCCCAACTGAACTGTAAGCCTTTAGTCTGGGCACACATAGGACCCTAATAAATACTTAACCATACTGTCTACATTTGTACGTTCCATTATCGGTTTCAAAAGTCGTTCATGTCCATCTTCTCATTTGCTCTTCAGCTAAGCATTGTGAGCCGAGGGGATGCTACTGCCCACCCTCCCACCCCCTTGGTGTGGACTTGGAAACTCAGGCTGGGGCAGGGGTGGGATGGCTTCCTCAATTACCAGCGTAGCTAGACCCTAGATCCCTGTCCTCAGGCTTCTGGCCCCACGGTAAAAAAAAAGATAGGGAGGCGAGGGAGAGGGATGCTGGGGAGAGAGAGAGACCCACATCGCTGTCCTGCGGAGGCAGCTGATGCAAGAGGATCCGAAGTCCAGGCCGGTTGGGGGCCCAATGGGTGTCCAAGCCAGGAAGCCCCAAGCTCAGAACTTCAGGGTCCTGAGGAGACGCAGCAGGGTGGGGGGGTTGGTTTCCCTTCCTCTTTGCTCCTCCCCCCACTGCCACCCCTTCTCTAATCTGGAACAACTACCAAGCACCGCCTCCTTCAAGATCAAGACAAGGACAGGTGGCCGCTCCTGCATGTGAGGCACGTCGGGGAGGCCCCACTCCCCCAGATGGTATCCTTTCTGATGCTTTAAGTCACTCCCTTTACTCCTTAGGGCTAAAGCCCCGAGTCTGCTTTGACAGCGCAGACCCCCTAGAGGAAGTAACGCGTATTCGTGCGAAGAAGGTTAAAGTTGGACCCCCTACATCCGAGGCAAGTGGGGGCTGTAGAGACAGGGATTCTTGCAAAGGGAAGACGGCCACAGGACGTTGGGCAGAAAGGCTAACTACCTTCCAGGGGGTGGAAATGGGAGGAGGTCGGTGGAATGGAGGGCATGTTGGGCCCAGAGGGAAGCGCAGGGCTCCTACTACCTGCGCGAAAGTTTCCTCAGCGTCCTCCTCTGGCAAGTGGCCTGCGTCAGTGTGAGTCGGCTGGCGGGCCTGGCTCCGGAGGGCTGAGGCTCTCCCCTCGGTGGGGCCAGCCAGAGTTCAGCACTGACATTGGTGACGAAGCCTGCCAGAAAACAGGAACACTTCCCGTGTATCGGGACCTTACAACGTGCCAGGTAGCGCCAAGTGCTTTGTAGGCATTGTCTCCTTCGGTCCTCCCAGCCACCAAGCGAGGTGGGCGGTATTCCTGACCCCATTTTGCAGATGGCCAAACTGAGGGTCAAGGAGCATAAATGCCCGAGGTCACACAGCTACTAAGTGGCACAGCCACATCTTGAAGCCAGGCCTTCTGGCTCCAGAGTTTCTGAAGGTCAAACTCCAGGGTGTGTCCCAAGACTGGGAAGTAGGAAAGAGGAGGCGCATAACGGAAAGACAGGGCATTCTGCCGTTCTAGAGAGCCCCACAGTTGAAACAAAGAAAACAAACTGAGGTTAACCTGCCTAAGGTCACATTAGGAAGCTAAGGAATATTCTAGGAAGAGGCTGACTTTGAGATCCAGGATGGATTCTGACCGCAGCCGGGCACAGGAGGGCCTCAGCAAATCTCAGGCCTCTCTAAGACCCAGCTTTGGGGTTGGGAACAAAGCCTGGACTAGAACAGTTATATTGCTGCCCAGCCCTGCAAGTCACCCCCACGCCCCTTCAGAAGTCCTGTGCCACCTAAACCTGCTTCCACACCCATCTGCTTCCTTCCTGTTCTGTCCCTCTGGTCCTGTTTCCTGTGGAAAACAGCCCGTATGGGCTGTTCCTACTCAGGGCCAGGAGCTGCCACTTCCCCTAACACCACTGCCCCTGCCCCAGGCAGCAAGAGGCCCTTGGGGCAGGGTGCGCACAGGCTAGGGGCCACCTGGGATCTCAGAGTGGATGTGCGCCCTTTTTTTTTTCCAGCTTATAGTATGAAATCGCCCCCCCCCCCAGAAACAACGCTTGGAAGTCAGCCTTCCCCCACCTCCACTCAGCACTGGACCCCGTCTTATTAACATCCTGGATTCCTTCAAAATCCACCCCCCCGCCCCTTAGTTAAGGACCCCGTCTCCCGCCCCTGCGCAGGTGCAGCCTGGCTCGAGTGCCACCTTCCCAGCCCAGCCCTGCGCTCAAGGGCAGAGCCTGAGCGGACCGTAGGGACTGGGGAGGTGAAAGGATGGGAAGGTTTTCCGCGGACAGTGGAGGGAGAAGAGAAGTGTCCGGTCCCGCCAAAAGCCTTCTCGGCAGATCCCCAAAGTTTTTTCTTGGACTTCCCCAGGAATAGTTGGGGCCCCCAGTCTGGCTGTTGGGAGCTTAGGGGAGGGAACGGCGTCTCACCCTCGCTGCGCGCCGGTGTCCGGGCCGTTCTTGACAGACCCCGCCGTCGGGGCTCCCACCTAGTCCCCACCCAGAGCCCTCAGCGCCTGCCCCTGCCCGCCCCGGGAGTGCGGCCCTTCCTCTCCCACGCCCCCGGCGCTCCCTGCCCGCCCCTCCGGGACTGGTAGAGCCGGTGGCTCGGGAGGGGCCTGGTGCTGCAGCCAGAAGGAAAGCATTTGGGGGATCTCAGGGTGGAAGTTGTGCAGGCTCACTGCCCCTCTCGCCACTCCCAGGAATTTAGCGCCGGCCCCGCGGGCCCCGCGGGCACAGTGCCGACTCTAAGGTGCGGTCATTGTGCCAGGTCTTCGCTCAGTTGCTCGCGGAACAGAAAGTCTTTCGGAACCAGCACGTCCCCCAGACCCTCCCTCGGGTCTCCGAGCTCCGCCCCTCTCTGTCCTCACCCCCACCTAGTTGCAGCCCCTGGTCCCCAGCTCCTTATAGGGATCCTTCGTCTTGCCCTTCTCCCTTCCGTCCCTTCAGACCTTACCCCCGTCTTTCTTTTCTTTTTTTTTTTTTTTTTTGGTCTCTCCCCTACCCTGGTCCCTTTTCTGATCCCGGGAGTGGAAACCTCTGGTCCCACCTCTTTTTCCCTCCTCAGCCCCGCCCCTCGCTCCGCCCCCGCCCAGGCCCCGCCCTGCCCCCCGCGGGGCCCGCTTTGCTGCTGGCCCGGAGCGCCCTCTGGCGTGTGCGCATGCTCCCTGCTCCTGACTGCAAAGTCCTCCAAAGGGACCTTCTAGGCTGCGCGCCGGTCGCCCCCGATCGGGTCCGCCCGCCCGCAGCGTCTCGTTGGTGCTGCCGGTGACCTCCGAACCCGCGGCCGCGGGGCGGGGCGGGGAGGCCTTAGCTCCGGGCGGGCGGCGGCTGCTGCAGCGGGACCCGGGAGCGGGGCCCGGCGCCGCCCGGGCCGCGGGGAGATGTGAGTCGGGGCGCGGCGGGGCGGGGACGAGGCGGTTCCACCGAGGCCGCACCGCGCCGCGCCGCAGTCTCCGCTCCCTCCAGAGGAAGCCCAGGGCGGGAGGGCGGTGGAATCCCGGGGCTGGGGGCGGGGATCCCGGGACTGCGCGCGGCCCCGACCTCCCCCATTGCTTCCCAGTGTCTGTAGAAATTCCCCTGACAACCCCGCAACCTAAATCTGTCGCTCACGCCCCAGAACCACCCCACCCCCCACCCCTCCCCCCGGACACACCTTCGACAGTCCTGGAGCCTTCCGAACCCCCTCACTCCTGCGAATTCTGCTACGCCCGCAGAGCCACCATTCCTCGGGATGCCCCTAAACGCTTCCAGAGCTCTGTGGTCCTCTGATCCTGCACACGCCCCATTCTCCTTGCACCATGCTCAAATGCAAAAAAACAAAAACAAAAAACAAAACTTGCCCAGGTTTCCCTGAGCCCTCATATATTTTGAGTCCCCATAACCTCTTGACACTCCGCATCTGCAGTCCACACGTATCCCAGACTTGAGCCCCCTCCTCCTGTCCCAGCCAGTGTAACCCCCCCTCAGTGAAGTGTCATGATATGTCCTGATACCTTAAAGACAAATGAAGGGGACAGAAAAAGATGCAACACCTTCCCCCATCTTGCACTCTGTAGTTCTTAGTTTCCCCCTCAGGCTCCCTTTTGGTGGCTCAAGCCTCAGTATTTTCCCAGCTGCCTGTCTTTAGGCTGTGCCCACCTCCCTGAGCCTGCTTCCTTTTCCCAGAAAATAAGCCAGACCAGGGGATGGGGGTCTTTTTATCTGGGAAGTTGTCTGGGGAAGCAGAGCCCAAGGGGCCCTGGGAAAGGATATTGCTTTTGGAAAGCAGGAGGGTGGGATTTCAAAGATCTCCAAGGTCCTGGCTTGTCAACTTGTCCACCTGGGGCTCAGATCTCTGAAATGTTGATTTATTGTTAGCATTTATGGTAACAAATTTTAAGCCTTTCAGAGCTTGGAGAACAGAAACTCTATCCAGCTTCCAAATGTGAGATTGGAGCTTGTCCTGGAAGAGGCGAATGTCCATTTTAGTGACGTTTTTCCTATGCTCAACCTCTAGAAGTTATTTCAGCGAGACACTGCAGTTTACAGATGTTTCCCTTGAAAACTAAGGCCTTGAGGTGGGAGGTGGGGGGTCGACTTGCGGGAGTCTCCCAGATACTTAATGGCAACAACACAGACTAGAAGATTGGTTTTCAGCATCTTAACCAGCATTCTTTCCAGTACATCATAGTGTCCTTTTGAGAAAGCTCCCTGTAGAGTTAAAGTTCCCTGCAAAGGTGAAGTGGAGGTTTTGGTGTTGGTTGTAACAGGCTTCAGATTGGGGTCGGGGTCTAGAGGCAACTTAAAAGGTTGCCTTGGACTTGAACTCAGTACTTCTGTGGGAGTCACTCCCTCTCAGGGCCTGTGGGGCTTGGAATTGGCGGCCCCTTTGCCCTTGATCTCACTTTCTTCTTTGTGTTTCTGTCCCCTTAGGACCTGGAACAGATAGATATCCAGGTGGGACGGACTGACAGCAAGTGAGTTTCATTAACAATGGGGGGCGAGGATGAAAGGTTTCCACTAACCTGCGGTCTCTGTCTCCTGTGCTAGGTGAGCCCCAGGTGTGTCCCAGAGGGATCCAGGTGACTTCTCCGCAGATTACTTGCCATGACGCCCCACCGAGAACAGGGGGAGTAAAGTGGGGGTCCTTCCCCATGCCCCTCCCACGGTCAGCTCCCCAATGGCCTGGGTGAGGTGAGAGCTGTGTGTAGGAGCCTCTTTTCTAGAGTTTTCCAATTTGGGAAGGAATGGGGGATACAGGTCAGGATTGTTCAAGGTTCACACACTCAGTGGGAGTTCTAGAAGGATATTTTACAGGTTCATTTCTTGTGTCAGGTTGCAACCCCTTCTGGTTGGGATCATTCTGTGCGTTTGCTTGCTCCCGTAAGTCATTTAGTCCTCTCCATTCTAGACAGAGGCCCCCACTGTTGTGACATATAATCCAAGTGCCATAACCCTGCAGAGAAAAGCCAGATAATAAGTCCTTTGGTCTCCCCTTTAGATGAAGGGGAGCAAACCCAGCATTTATTTTTTAAATGAAGAAATAGCTAATTGAGGTTATAAAAATTGTGTGCTGTTTTAAGTTCAGTCTTCTTGCTGTATCATTTTGGCTGCAATGTAATACCTCATTGAAGAGAACATCAAAAAGATAAATTTGAAGTAGATGTTGGGATGGTGGTGAGGGAAGAAAAGAGAGTTTGGGTGATGTGGGAAGGGTAAGGTGGAAAAGAAGGAAAAAGAAAAGAAAAAAAGAAAGGTCCAGGCTACAGTGTCAAGGTCTGCCCAGTTACAGTTTGTTTGCTAAATCTGAATGAGGGCCCTGGACTGGCACCCAGCTCCCCCTGAAGCAAATCACTTCTGGTTGTCCACTTTTATCCATTCCCTGCTTTCCAGCAGCCCAGGCTTCCCTTCGCTTTCATTACATCTGTCAAAATCCTACTCACTTCTCAGGGTCACGAGCAATGTTACCTGTGAGAAGCTCTCTTCCGTTCATCCGTTAGCATTAATCTTTAACACATCCTAACTTGAATTAATGTTTATCCAGTGCATGCCTGGCCCTGGATTGAGAGTGTGAATTTCTTAGAGGAGGGACAATGTCCCACAGTGCCCAAGCATAGAGGATCGCAGTGAGGTGGTTCTGCCGGGGTCCCCAGAATGGGGCTTTTTGGAGCCGACCTTGATGACCTTATCCCTTACGTCTTTCCCTTAGGGCGGACTGGCTGCTCTGACATCATGGGGAGCTGCTGCAGCTGCCTGAACAGAGACAGCGTCCCAGACAACCACCCTACCAAGTTCAAGGTACCTGCCGTCCCCTCCTCTGCTGAGCTCCCAGCATGGCCTCCTGGGCTCGGCCCGCCTATTGAGTTGCCTTTGCCTCCCTAGAGAAGGTGAAGGGACAGGCTGAGGTGGGGGCTAAGACTCCTCAGGGCTGCTAAAGGGGCGCGGGGCGTGTGGTGTGTGGCCCAGGCCGCTGCCAGCGGTGTCGTTCTCCTATGCTAACGACAAAGAAGGAAGAAATACTGGGATGAAAAGTTGTGTTTTTAGAACATTCATTCCTGCTAGTGTATCTTTGTAGCTTTACATATATATTTTTTTTTTTTTGAGAAAACAAAAGTATATAGCTGTGGGTTAATATACATAAAGTATTTAAAGCAGCGTGTAACACCCGGCAAGCCCAATTTTAGCTGTTCACTTTGGGAAGGTAAGGCCAGGCCCAGGGGACCTGTGCACCCCTGGCCACCTGCCACCTCTCACGTCCAGTAGGAGTCCCCTCCTCACACCCAGCTCTTGAGGCCCGGGTTTCTCCTGCTCACCAGCAGAGGGAGCCCTTAGCAAGGGCCTGGAGTTGGGCAGGTGGTGGAATAGGTCTGTGTTCTGTTTTGGACTTGACTTTCGGGGGGGGGGGGGGGGGGTCTCAAGATTTTGAACTTCTAATCTAACCCCTTCCTCCATTAGCATCTGGTGCTTGGACACAAGAGATGGACCATTCCAAGGTTCTCTAACCTTGGCCATCAAACCATCTGACCTTGGAGGTCAGCTAACCAACCCCACCTTCACCGCCCCAAGGACAAAGCAAGGCCTAGAGAGCTGCTGTGGGTCATTGGCACTGCCTCACCCGCTTTGTCTCCCAGTGGTCCTTTGGCATCGCCGGAGAGACTGGTAGAGGCAGGCGAGCCCCCCGACCCCCTAGCCCTAGCCCTGCATTGGCCGGCCTCCCAGTGGCTCTGGGACTCCTCCATACTTGGGTCACTCACTGACCCTTCTGTTCCCTGCTCCCCAGGTGACGAATGTGGATGACGAGGGGGTGGAGCTGGGCTCCGGAGTCATGGAGCTGACACAGAGCGAGCTGGTGCTGCACCTGCGTCGGCGCGAGGCTGTCCGCTGGCCCTACCTCTGCCTGCGGCGCTATGGCTATGACTCCAACCTCTTCTCCTTTGAGAGTGGCCGCCGGTGTCAGACGGGCCAGGGTGAGCACCGCTCCCGGGATAGGGGCG